CTGTTTTTTATTCAGACTCCATATTATTTGCTTTAACAAAGAATATTTGAATTATATTTTGTTAAAAAACAAAACTAAGACAAAGAAAAACTGATTAAAAATTGATGTTGATAGAATCTGATAGTAGTGAATGTGAAAAAATGTACAACATAATTTTTCATTATTTTTTCATTTGTTCTTGGTGAAGTTGGAGCTTTTAAGTTAATTTTACATAGAATAAAATAGTTTTCAAAGAGTCTACAAATATGAAGAGTACAAATCAACTTCTGTCAGTGTCTAAAGAAATATTATCCTTATAAGTCATGAGAGAAAACTGTAACAAATCAAATGTTGCTGAATATACACTTGTGAAATGTCACCAGAGTTTCATTTACAAAATAATGCCAAATTTTAAAATATTCAAAAGTTTGTCAAAACTCAAAATTCTAAGCTGAAAATTATTTTGTTGAAATTACACTATTGTCTTCTTTCTGTGCTGTACATTTAAAAATTTTCATCTGATAAAAAGAAAACAACATAACGCTATTTTAAAAATACTATGTGATGCTACAATCCATCATTTTATCCCTTGATAAATTTAGGAGTACTAAAAAGAAAAAAAAAAGCAGCAAGATTTTAAAATTGTTTTCTATAAGAATGTGAACTAAACTTCCTTATTTGGACCATGAATTGAAACAATTGCTGATGTTAACTAAAAAATGTCAAAAAAGGTCACAGTAAAAGTGATGCCTCTGATTATCTTGGCTTATGATATCAAAAGCACTTGTTACTGATATGGCAGTTGAGGTTTTAACATTTCTGTTAAATAACAGTTTAGCAGACTCTTATTTATTTTTTTTTTTTTTTAGAGAAGTGTTATTCTGCTCGGACTTCCTGAGGATCAGACAGAAGAAAAAACAAAGAAGTCGATTTTGATTGGCTGAACAAGCGTAAGAATGATGGGTAGAGAGAGGATTTTCAGGAGTTAGTTCTTACACATCAAGTAATGTAGATGTGTTCCTTTTGTCTCTGGATTTGCTTCCCAGTGGAGGGGGAGAATAACCCCACTAGCTAGTTAGAGATGTATATGTTGACGTGATTAATAAACTAGTTAAGGTTAAAATTCCCTGTGTAGAAGTTTTTAATCTCTGAACCAAACTGACTAGCGATCACCGGCTGGAAGATGACAAAGAGGAGTGAGAGAATATACAACATTGTATTAATTGGTGCAATAACCAAGAGACCCCTAGCATGAGGGGGCTATACAACATTCCATCAACAACCAGAGTTTTTGGCCTTATACACAGTAGATGAGTGACGGCCTGGTAAAATGGTGTCTGACATGAAAGTACATATGAAGCAGAGGTGTGTCATTGAATTCATCCATGTAGAAATTGATGCCCGAGAGATGTTTATAGTGGTACAATCAGGCAATAGGAAATGCATTTAAGCAATAGCAAAGTGATACATGTGAAAAGTCACAGTCTGAGTTTAGCAGTTAAACCATGATTAGCTAATCTGCACGAATAGGATGTATTATGACCAAGGAACAGTGAACAGAACTGAATTTTGATTTCTTTATGTTGGGAATGATGCTGGAATATTGCAAAGTTAGGAGAGTCCTATAGAAGTTCACAGAAGAACAGATAACCACCAAATGTATATTTGTCTGAACTTGCCGAACCACTATAAGACTGAAGGTAGCACTTTCCTGGAATATTGGGGACAATATGTGGTGTTGCCGCCTTTTAAAAACCAGAATAAAATTGACAGTCCACAGTAGGATGATGTGAATTTTCCATAAAAAAAATAATTAATCAAAATGCAACCATCAGCAGACAAAATGATGTGTCCTGTTTATTGGAATAAAAAAAAAAAGGTGTGATACTTTTGGATTTTCTGGAACCTAGACAAACCATTTGCTCTGACTGAAACATTGCAATACCAACTCAGCTGAAGACTTGTATTTCTAGATTTAGGTCAGTGAAGACAACTATTCATTTACAATGCAATAATTCCAGGACACACACCAATAGATCATATTACAAACTTTGGCTTGACTGTTCTACCACACATTGCAAAGAGCCAATGAAAAATGGACTATATAGACAACATTTTCCTGACAACAACTTCATCACTGCTTGTGAAAAAAGTGGGTCACCTCCCTTCGTGTAGATTTTTACAACGTGACATGGAATCTTCTGCTTATTAATGGCTGGTTACAGTTAAAATGTATAGACAATGATAGTAACTATGTTGAAATAGTATTTTGTAACTGAAAACTAAGCTCTATACAGCAATATTGTGTTGTTTCCCTGGAAATAAATAAGAGATCACTTTTGGAGCATTCCTCATGCACTTAAAAGAGAATAGGCAGGTAAAAAAAAAAAAAAAAAAAATAACAATTTCATTAGTGTTTAATCTCATTTTTATGGGTATACAAAGCCAGGCTCAAATTTGATTGTTGAAAGAGATTTAAAGATTTACAAGATTGTTTAAAAAAAATGTTTTAAAAATTATTAATTCAAAATTTATGTAAATTTTAAGAAATTAATATGCTGGATAATAACATAGCCTTTAGTAGTAATCTTTATATTATCAGTATTATTATTGTGTTAGTATACCTAGTACAGTACTTGTCAAAAACAAGATTATGTATGAATCAAGACATCTGCATGAAATCAGAGTGCCTGCCTACCCCACAATCTGATCAGTGGCATATTGGTGTGCTGTTTAGCATAAAAGTGTTATCCTTGGCACTTCTGACAAGGACGTATGCATGTTACGATGTAATAATAGTATCCGAAACAGAAGTAGAGATGATGTGACAAAATGAAAAATCTTTTCAATGGCATTTTTCATCAGCATCTGTTAGGTTTGGCTTCTTCAGGTTGTAATGAAAGACAAAACTGTGTAAGGAAAATGCATTAGGATTTTTGAGGATAAGAGGAGCAATAAATTAAATTACTTTACCAAATCCAATGACCAGGAATCAGAAACATATATATATATATATATATATATATATATATATATATATATATATATATATATATATATATATAGCTGATGTCTGTTGAATTTTAAATCAGCTCACTCCAAACAGATCTCTTTTTTTTTTTCTATTAGCTCATATACCGCATTGTGCTTCTATTGCTATTGTGATGATTGGAGGATATTATATTATAGTCTTGCACTTAGGTTTATTGTTGAGAATTAGGAGATTAGTGCACTCTCAATGCATTGTTTTCTCTCCTGATCAGACGAGCATTTATTAAATTGAAATTGTGGGCAGATGTATATGGTGAGCTACCAATGCATTCAAAGGGTTGCTATGAAGTATATCTCTGCAATGCACATATAGTTGTTTTGTGAGGCTTCTGGATTTGATGCTGATGTACACCATTGGGTATTTTGTACAATCTATTTGTAAATTCCTACCTCTGTCCTGTTGTTATTTGGTGTGAAATATATCTCTGTTTTTGGTGTTGATGAATATTAAGTTGGATAGGTTATTTTCAATGATGGCTATTATGGATTCAGTAGGTGGGATTATGTGCCAACTTTTGTTTTGACTGCTGAGATTATCATCATCTGTGGAATTTTGTATTTTTTTTCTGTGGATTTTGTAGGCTTTGCATTTGGCATTGTATGGCAAATAATTTTGGTATTGGAGGAGTTTGAAAGTTTTTTTCAATGTACTTCTCTTTGTCAGGCAGGAATTTAGGGCTACAGATTCTAAAGCCTCTTAAGTAAAAGCCTATGATTACTCTCAATCTAATTTTATTGTTGTGATGGGGGGTAGAAGCATACAAGACTTATTATTTGTCACCTTTAGTTATATATCATTATGTGTGTGTACACATGTATGTGTATGCATGGAGGCACAGTGGCAGATAGCAGCTCGAATTGAGGAATCAAAGAGCAGAGTTCAAATTCCATTTGTGTCTTTTTACTATAACTTACATGTAAATACCCTTGGGAAAGGTATAAATCCATCTTTTCTCCCTCCAGAGTAAATAGCAATATAGACTGGGTCCTATAGCCTTGAATGGCAACCAGTCTATGAGAAAGCAGACTCTGAAGGAGGGTTGTTTGGGGGAACCTTGTGACAAACTATGTGTACCAGTTCTCTGTATTCAGCTCTTCCAAAAAGTGTGGTTGGCTCTACACAAGACTTCACTACTGTTTGGTTCTAAGATCCAAGTCATACATTGAAAATGACTGGGGGAAATAAACACAATGTGCATTCAAATATGTGTCTGCGACTGTAGAATATCAATACTGGATCCTGATTCTTTACATTAAAGAAACTGAAGCTAACCTAACTCCCTTTTGCACTATTTTAAGTCATAAAATATCAGTATTGCATAATCAGCCATTTTCAAATTATACCAGAATATCTTCCAATGCATGAAATAATAGTAACAATAATATATATTAAAGATTGAAATTTTAGAGTTTTCAGTATATTTTTGTCTTATCAGATTCCATCAATGATTACTAATCTCTTAAGATTTTGTTTTTTGGATGAAATTAGATTTATTAATGATTAACTGTATTGATGATGATGATAGATAAACTTAATGAATAGGTGCTGAAGAGTTCTTGCTTCAATCTAGCCAACTCATAATTTTTTTTTTTTTTTAAAGCTTCTTGGTTAGGATGAGAACTTTTCATCACACTGCATATATAATTAAAAATTAATAATGAACATCTAATCAATGATCATACCATAATTTTAGCTATTAACAATAATAACTGAAAGATGGAAATTAATGTAATAAGAATTATTTTCTGATTGGTAAATATGTGTAGTTTTCTAAAAATTAGTTTGGTTTGTTCTGTTGGGTTTTATGGCATCTCAACTTTTGGTGGGTTATTTTTTTTTCCAGCAATTATTATTTAAGAATAAAAATGACATTAAAACAAAGAAACTATTAATACTGATTTAATTGCAAAGAGAATGATGCAAGACGCAGGTAAAATGGCATATTTTTTGTTGTTTGAAGGATGCTTACCTGGATGTAAGGAGCTACGGCACGAGAAATTTCACGCTGTTTCTCAGTCACAAGATCTTTCAACTGGGATACCAT